CAAACGAGAACGACGTTAAATCCTCTGGATATTCTTATGGCCTAGTATACTAACTCGAGCCTTATTCTTGGGTCAACCTTCACAGAATAAAAAAGAAGAAGAAAACACATATCAACTAATTGTAATTTGTTAATAAAATTTAAAACTCGCCATTCTACATGTCATACATTATATGTGTTTCAAAAATGAAATTTTATACGTTTTTATATTCTTAGGATTTTCGTTAAGATTTGCGCAAATGATATAAATTGTTGAAGTACGCAAGGAAGTAGCCTATAACGTCAAGTTTGACTTTGTATTTTATGTGATAGGTGATTGGCCTAGTTTCGCCACGTTTCCTTTTGCAACCTTTGAATTCATAAGTGATTAGTATTTAAAAATAATATCTATGAAGAAATTCTTTTATAAAAAAAAATCTGTGAAGAAAGATATAAATGGGAGCGATTAAAGTCCACTCGCATCGAAGAGTTAACTCGTGAGTTTAGGAAACTCAATTGGTCTTAAAATATAAAAGTCAAATTTAGTGAGGTCAGGAGAAAAAGACTTCTCAATTGTTAAATTGACACGTCTTTTTTAAGATAATTCTTAATGTACATCAAGAATGATCCTCTTCTTTATACTAAGTAAATTGTAAATTTAAGAAATAAGATGATTCTTCAATTAGGGTCATAGTACTAATATTATGAAGAGTGATAGTAATCTCTCAAAATTATATATCTAATATCGAAAATTAAATTATTAATAATGATTAAAAAGCCCATATTATGGGCCCGTTTGATTCTCATTATTGTAGAATGAGAATGAAAAATATAGTCGTTATCAGACCCACACAAAAGATAAAAATATAACGATCATATTTTTTCATTTTTATAGATAAAAAATGAGAAATAAAGGGGGTCATAGTAGTCAACGCATTTCATGCCCCTCCAGCCGTCCCAGCAGTACAAACTAAAATTCCTAAAATGCCACTTTTAACTAAAAAATAAAATACCACTGCAAAAGTTCCAAACTCCAAGACAAGTACGTTTCCTACACGCTCTATATTAGGGTAAGCATATTATTATTCTGTCAAAAATAAAAAGTCTTCTCATCCAATGAGAAACGCGTGGTATCCTCCATCAATTCCTCTCTACACTAAAGCTACATAAATATAATAATTGATAAAATATTACATGANCCGCGTGGTTTCCTCCATCAATTCCCCCCTACACTCAAGCTACATAAATATAATAATTGATAAAATATTACATGACAACATATCATTGAACTACTTAAAATACAGTTAAGTTTTTCAACCAATCATATTTTGTCAACATTTATTATGTCCATGGGCGGACCTAGGGGAGTCCTGGGGGCAAGTGCCCCTCCTCCCCAAACTTTTGAGATTTTTTTTTTTTATAAAATCATGTTTAGTATCGATTGAAATCTAAATTTTAATTTAGATCAAAGTTAACAATTAAATTTAAAAATATATTTCATGGAATCCATAATTGTTTAACTTTTATCAAAATTTAATAAAAAATTGATTTTAATCTTCACCAAATAGGGGTAAAATCACAATAAATTTGAATTTCGATAACATACTAATTTTAAAAATT